CTTATTAAATTAAAATCCCATACATGGACCATTTCTGAATAACTTATTTGAAAAGAAAACCCTGGCCAGTATAGATTAGGAGTATAGAATGAATCTTATGAATAATCAGCACTGTGTTAGTCAGCTCAAGCTGCTATAACAAAATGCCACAGACTGAGGTGGCTTAAACAACAGACATTTCTTTCTCACAGTTCTGGAGGCTGCAGAATCCAAGACCGAGGTACCAGTAGATTTGCTTCCTGGTAAGGGGCCTCTTTCTCGCTTGGAAATGGCTACCTTCTCTCTGAGTCTTCATAAGACATTTCCTTGGCGCATGCTCTTGGAGAGAAAAATACCTCTGTCTTCCTCTTCTTATAAGGACACTAATCCCATCCTGAAGGCCCCACCCTCATGACCTCACCAAAGTACCTCCCAAAGGCTGCATCTCCTAATACCACTGCCTTGGGGATTAGGGCTTCAACATATAATACAGGACGAACACAAACATTCAGCCCATAATAAACCCTAAAGGATGAGAATAGATGGACACATATCAGGAAACAACATACGCTGGACCTTTCAGAGGGTGGAGGGTGGGCAGAGGGAGAAGATCAGGAAAGATAACCAATGGGTACTAGGCTTAACATCTGTCCAGCAAGGCATCATGGCACACATTTATCTATGTAGCAAACCTGCATTTGTACCCCTGAACTTAAAAAAAAAAAAAAGTTAACAAAAGCCTAATAAATCAAACTTTATGTAATATTTCATACTAATGCCACGGAGTCCATGACCTGAAGACTGCCAAAATCTAGGTGGTACTAGAGCACATTTCCATAAGTTAATGAAAACAAACTCACTGAAACTAATTGAATATTTGACTTGAGTTTTCAGTGATACTTGGTGTATTATTTGTACTCAAGTCTTATGATAATTTCTACACTGAAATTTTGTATTTGGTAAAAACCTTAGTTCATAATAATAGGTGTAATTCTTGCTCTTACTAAAACTCATCTTAAAAATAAATCAGCATTCTCAGCAAACTAACACAGGAACAGAAAACCAAAGACTGCACGTTCTCACTCATAAGTGGGAGTTGGACAATGAGAACACATGGACACAGGGAGGGGAACATCACACACTGGGGCCTGTTGGGGGGTGGGGGGCAAGGGGAGGGAGAGCATTAGGACAAATACCTAATGCATGCGGAGCTTAAAACCTAATGATGCGTTGATGGGTGCAGCAAACCACCATGGCACATGTATACCTATGTAACAAACCTACACGTTCTGCACATGTATCCCAGAACTTAAAGTAAAATCTAAAAAAAAAAAAAAGAATAAAAAAAAAAAAAAGTATTCACTTGGGCAGGTCACATACTGAAATTGGAGTTAGCACGGCCCCTGTGCAAGAATGACAAGCAAATCTGTGAAGCGTTCATATTTTTGATGTCTGAGTGATGGTGAGGACGTCCCTAGCTACCAAGATTGCTGATACACGAGTAAAAAAAATAAAAAGTAAAAACCAGCATAGACATTTCTCTCCATGTCACTTGTTTCCATTTAAAGCAAAACTTCTTGAAATAAATGCCTATACCTGGTGTCACCTGTTCCTCTCCTCACACATCTCTTAAACCTACTTGTTCAGGGTTTATTCACCCTCTACTTCACTGGAACAGTTCTGGTGAAAATAACCAACTTCTGGTGACAGATTTATTTGCTAAATCTGATGATCCCCTCTCAGTTCTTCACTCATGTGACATGTTAGCAGCTTTTGAAACAACTGATCCTTCCCCTTTCCTTGATATGCTTTTTGTAACCGGCCTCTGGGGCCCACACTCCTCTGGTTGTCCTCATTGCTAGGACTTTTTCTCAGCCTCATTTGCTTGGTTTTCTTTATCTCCTTGACTTCTGAGTGCCCCATGGTGAATCCCTAGATCCATTCTCTTATTTATCTGTTATCTTGTGTGATTTTATTCTGACTCGTGGCTCTACATACCATCAACATGTTCAGTTTAGATTTCCATTCGGACCTCTCCACTGACATCTGTGATTCTATACTCAAATGGCTAATTTGACATCTCAGCTTGGATATTTAAAAAGAACCTCAATTTTAATATGTTCAAAATGGAACTGTGGATTTCCGCTTCTAAATCTGATTCTCCTACCATCTTCCTCACCTCTATACACAGCAATTTCGTCTTTCCAGTTGGCTAAGATAACAAAACTTGGAGTCATCCTTGATTCTTGTTTCTTGCACATACCACACCTGGTCCGTCAGAAAACTCAAATGGCTCAACCTTTATATTCTGTCATGCAGCCCTGTCATTCCACCTCCACTGCCACTGCCTGGTCCAAGCTTCCCTGATCCCTTGCCTGCATGGTTGCAAAATCTCCTGATCAGGCTCTTTACTTCAACTCTTGGACCTGGTGTCTCTTTATCTTACAGCAGCCACAGCTTATGTTCTTAAAGTATGTCAGATTATGGAACCCTTCACCCCATCTCCAAAGCCTTCTTATGATTTCATATTGAGGGACTGAATATGAGAGACATATTCAGTCTCTTACATTCAGTCTCATATGCCAGACCACACATTAAAATACAACTCTGCAGCACAGCCTACAGCAACTGGAAAGCCAAAGACAACTTTTTTTGGCAATCAGCCCCCAGTGGTCAGGATCTGATGATGGCTTTCCTAATTTTTGTCTCCACTTCAAATTTTGAAACAACCAGACAGAGCCAAATATGCACCTCTAACCATAGGATACCCAACTTCTAGTTAATCCACTAGAGCTTCCCCACGCCAACAACCTCCAGTGAGGGCACACCTGAAGCCTTCCCTTTTTTCCACTATTAGGCATTCCTGCTTCTCTGCCTGTCTTTGAGTCTTTATCAAAACACAGGTGACAGTGGCTGATTCCATTGCTAAAGCAAGTTCTGAATAAACAGCATTTGCTTGTTCTGTTCCCATCTGGTCTTTGTTTATTTCCGTATCTTACTCTGAGTAAAAACCAAAGATCTTCCAATAGTCCTGAAGGGCTCATGTGACCTGCCCACCACCCACCTCTTCACCACCTCTCTAGCCTCATATGTTAGGCTCTCTTCCTTGCCCAATTTGCTTCAAGCACAGTGGCCTCCTGGCTGTTACTTGTACACACTTGGCACAACCTGCCCCGAGGCCTTTTTCATTTGTCCATCCATTTACCTGGAATTATCTTAAGTTGTTCATATAGGACATTTGATTACTACCTTCCAATCTCAGCTCCAGTGAGATTCGAATTCTACCAGAGACTTTTTTTTGCAACTTTCCTGTGTATCTTAGACACCATATCCAGCCACGGCCTTCCCTGTCACCCTCAGCATATTTTATTTTATTCATGTAATTTGTTGCCCCTAATATACTATTTTCTTGTATACATATTTTCTTCCTCCTTCCCACCCCTCAACTATAATAAAAACCCCATGAGGCCAAGGATTTTGTTACTTCTGTATCCCTGCACAGTGTCTGGCAAGTCAATGTCACTCAATCAATATTTGATAAATAAATAATTAGCTACAAAATCTTATATTCACAGATTTCTTAAAATGGGAGCATTTTAAAAATTAGTAGATCAGTCACAACCCCGGGAGAAAACAAATGGCACAGGAGAAAACAAATGGCACACGCAAAATGAGTAATTTAAAAAGAATTGAATCACATGACTCTTTTAGAAAGGAGAGGGCAAAGATCCATTAACACCTAGGCATGATAAAGTGCTTTGAGGCTAATGAGAGCAGCCCTATCACTACATCTAGGCACAGGACAGGAGAGGCTAGCCGAGGCCAGAGAGCAAGCTAGGCCTCTACAGGCACTCTAACCTTTTGTGGAGGGTGTGTAGCCAGCTCTGGAAACCCTGAGGGAAACCAAGGGAATAAACACCTGGCCCACTCTGCTTTTGCCCTCCAAGTTCCTTCCTGTATTCCCCATTGGCTGACCCAACCAGGAGCCGGAATGTAAGGGAAACATTAGGTGTGGTTCTCATTTGTCAGCTCCTGGGGCACAGCACAGGGTGAAGCAGGGTGGAGCATGGAACCTCCAAGGCTGTATCTACCGTTCCAGCAATCTTTCATAATCATTAAAAGTCATAAGGTTAACTGTTTTAAAAATAATCATGAAGTGTTTTCTGTGGGGGTATGAGACTCTCAGTGAAACAGACTCCCAGTCAAATCCCAGAGTATCTGTTTGGGGTTTACAACGTCAAACCATTGCACTAAATGGTTGTTATTATTTTACATGATAACTGCATTTCTTAAAACAAATTAATTATGCCATTTTTATTATTTAGCATGCCCTTTGACTGTGTTAAAAAAGAATAATTGGTAATGTTGTATATGTTATTCTGCCAGGAGTAAAAGGGAGCCACAGAAATATTCCTTATAGCTGATAAATGGATTTATCAATTCTAAGGGAACAGCTGTTTTTTAAAATGTTGAACAATGCATTATTGTAATTTTAATCATGAATTGTCCAAAAAGAACACACTGTGGATGAAAAGAACAACAGAACAGACGTTTCAAGATCTGAGTTCTAATCCTGCCTTGGCCAGCTATTGGCAAATAAGTTCAACTGCATGAACCTCAGTTTCCTCATCTGCAAAGTGGGAGATGGGACAAGATGATGTTTGAGGTCATTTCTAACTCTCAAATTGTACTCCACTGGAAGCTGTTAATGTGTGCCAAGAGAACAAAGTTAGATAAAAACTGTGTCAGCATGACTTATTCATTTAGAAGCAAGCAATGACTGGAGATAAAAGCCATGTTGGGTTTTGTTTTTAGATTTCAGAATTCACTGGTCCAGATCCTATACCCTTTATACCCACTTCTTTTCCCCTCTCCTTCCTCCCTTTCCTCTCACTATATTATTCTAAAGAATATTCAAGGGGGGAAAAATCAATCATTAGAGAAATTTTAATTCTGTATGATTGTTTCAGAGGTAAGAAGCTCAGACAAAAATAATGCCTGCAATTGTGTTTTCTCTTTAGAATCAACTGTATTTATTCCCCAGTCCAAATACTCCATTGAAGAAGATGTTGGTGAGCTGTTCGTTCCCATCCGGAGGAGCGGAGATGTGAGCCGGGAGCTAATGGTGGTCTGTTATACCCAACAAGGTAGCTCGATTTGCCAAAAAACTAAGATAACTCCCAAGAGATATAAATAAGCCTGTTTAACATATTGGAACCATAACATTTTGCCATGAAGGGTATACTTTATCAATTTTCCATAGATACAGAAAAGGATTTATTTAGAAGTCTTTCTTCAGGATTTCTCCTTTGAGGAGTCCTCTTTCTGATTTCACTTGGTCACTTACTGCAATACTCAAGGCTTTTTGGATTATAAGGAACTAAAGCCCACCCAAGCCTGCTCAAGTAGAAATGGGTTACTATTAAAAAAAAAAAAAAAAAGAGCCAAAATGATGCATGCCCAAGGAAAAGAAACTAATTTAAAACCAGTTTGAAACTCATTTCAAAGAAATATCAAAATGTTTGTTTAGCTCATGAGCAAATATCCTATGGAAGGTGATTTTATATAATACAAAATTAAAATTAATACATAATATTCACTAATATACTAAATACCTTTCTAGGAAATAAGCAGATTTTCTAAAAATGCAAAACCAATGGTTATATATACTGATATCAGAGTAGACTTTTGCTAAAATTTTCATTCGTGGATATATGATTTGAAAGGCAGTACAGAAGAGTGATTAAAAGCCGACTTCAGAGTCGGTGGCTCATGCCTGTAATCCCAGCGCTTTGGGAGGCCGAGTCAGGTGGACCACAAGGTCTGGAGTTCACAACCAGTCTGATCGACATGGTGAAACCCCGCCTCTACTAAAAATACAAAAATTAACTGGGCATGGTGGCGCGCATGCGCCTGTAATCCCAGCTACTCAGGAGGCTAAGGCAGAAGAATTGCTTGAACCTGGGAGGTGGAGGTTGCAGTGAGCGAAGATCACGCCATTGCATTCCAGCCTGAGCAACAGAGCGAAAATCCGACTCAAAAAAAAAAAAAAAAACCAACTTCAGGACCAGCCTTGGACTCTGGGTCCCAGACCAAGTGGTTCAACTTCTGAAAACCTCAGTTACCAAATGTGTAAAGCCGGGTAGAGTGGTTGAGAGGATTAAGGAGACAAGCATGTGAAGCACTTGGCACTTTGCCTGTGCATAGTAAGCTTTTGAATAGTAGGGGCTATTAATCTGTAACACTGTGTTGATCTAAAGTCCATTGACAGGAAAGACAGGAGAGAACACTTGAAATGTAATATTCCTTATAGGTGTATAGGTTTGAGGTCACTCTCAAGTTAACTCATGATACTAGTATGTAGTTACTACATACATAACAGTATGTAGTTACTATTGCAATTCTAGGGGTGTTCATGTCTACAACTGACCATTAAAATGCTGTGTATGAAAATAATTGTGTCTGGAAATCTCTTTGTCTTATGTTCTGCAGAAAAATCTTTTGAATTCTCTCTGCTTCCAGGAACAGCAACTGGAACTGTGCCGACTTCCGTGTTGTCTTACTCCGATTACATATCCAGGCCTGAGGACCACACCAGTGTTGTCCACTTTGACAAAGATGAACGGGAGAAACTGTGTCGGATAGTCGTAATTGATGACTCCTTGTACGAGGAGGAGGAAACCTTCCATGTCCTTCTGAGTATGCCCATGGGGGGGAGAATCGGATCACAGTTCCCAGGGGCTCAGGTTACAATCGTTCCTGACAAAGATGATGGTGAGTACTAATTTACTTGAAAATTCTTCTTGCCGGGAAGAACAACATGAGGAACAACTTTCTAGACAGAAAAAATGGGAATTTAAAACAATGATAATATACACATTTATTTTATGTTTGGTTTTTTCATCCGATTAGGTTTCAAAGTTGGCTGCATCTGTCGGCTTGTCTTCCTTGATTTAATGTTTCTAAAGGGCAAAAGTCACAACTATGTGTGTGTTTTTTTCCCCTGTGCAGTTTCTTTCACCATGCCATTTACCATCAGGTGATTAAACTTTTGACATTTCGTGGTGAAGAATTGAAATCTAATTTATTTCCTTCTTGGTTTTTTGTTTTGTTTTGCTTTTAAAAGCTTATATTTTGTAACTTTAATCTCAGTGTTTGAAACCGTTTTTTCAAAGAAACCTGTCGGACAAGGCTGTTGAATGAATAACTAGTAAACACATGGAAAATTAAGTCCTACAAGCCACTCTGCCCCAAAATAGGAGGGAGGGAATATCCTAGATCATTCTTCCCCAGAGAAACTAAATTGTTGTGAAGTAGAAATAGAGAAGGGAGCAAAAGGATCTTAATCTCCCCAGTTCAAGAAATAGTTTGTACTTTTTTGTGTGGATAGAGAGAGCAAAAGGAAAGATTGCGAGTACTGTTGTAAGTAAAGCAGAGAGCAGTAAACTGAGAGATGGGACTCCCTAACCCTGGGCTGGTTTTCTTTCCCCTTTGAAATTTTCCTCCTGGTAGGTGAAAGAGGAAGACACTGGGGGATGATTCTTTCAGTGTGGAAAGAAGCTGGAAGACAGTCAAAAGATCAAACTCAGGAAGTTGAAAATAATCTACCAGAAAAGGTCTTTGATAGTTAAATGGCAAAGCACGTGAGAGGTGAACGTGGTAATGTGTCTTATGAGCCTATACTCTGTGCCAGGCACGGGTACTGGCTCCTCTGTACTTTTTTTTTTTTTTTTGAGACGGAGTCTCGCGCTGTGTCACCCAGGCTGGAGTGCAGTGGCGCGATCTCGGCTCACTGCAAGCTCCGCCTCCCAGGTTCACGCCATTCTCCTGCCTCAGCCTCCGAGTAGCTGGGACTACAGGCGCCCACCACCTCGCCCGGCTAGTTTTTTTTATTTTTTAGTAGAGACGGGGTTTCACCGTGTTAGCCAGGATGGTCTCGATCTCCTGACCTCGTGATCCACCCGCCTCGGCCTCCCAAAGTGCTGGGATTACAGGCTTGAGCCACCGCGCCCGGCCAGCTCCTCTGTACATTTTTTTAAAAAGACCTTTGCATAGGTTTATTGGATCTTCGTATTTCTTTGAATTGTCTATATACAAATTGATTTTCTTACTGATTTATAGTAGCTGTGAGAATAATAGATACTATACCTTTTACTGCATGTTGTTAAAATTTCTTCTAGTTTCTGCCATTTGTGTTTGGTTTAGCTTATTTTGGTTTTTAAATTGTTTTTGGTTTATTTTATTTTGTTTTCTAAATTGACAAATAATTATGTATATTCATGGGGCACGTATTGATGTTTAGACATATAAAATAGAGTGATCAGATCAGCATAATTAGCATGTCCATCATGTTAAACATGTATCATTTCTTTGTGTTGGGAACTTTCAATATCCTTGTAGCTAGTTGAAGCTATATAATGTATTATTGTGAACTAGAGTCATCCTACAGGGGTGTAGAAAACCAGAACTTGCTCCTCTTATCTAGCTGTCATTTTGTGTCCTTTACCTAATCTCTTCCCTGACCCCCCATCTCTCCTCCCTTCCCAGCTTCTGCTACCTTTGTATATCATTGTGCTTTATCATCCTAACAATTCTGTAAAATATATAACAACATCTGTGTATTTACTGAAAATGTTTGAAAACACTAAAAATTAGGAATTATTTTATCAAGAGGTATTGAAAGTCTTGATTCTACCTTAAATTTATATAATACCCTGTAAGTATAAGCTGCTCTAATATTTGTAACTGCTGCCTTAATTTATCAGTATAATAAAAAGTTATATTTTGTATTTAAAGTACAGAAATTTTATTTTATCTTAAAGAAAGAGCCAATATTTTGAATATAGTCCAAAAAATCTAATAGTCCATGCTAAATGCCTATCTGCTCTTTAGATAATCTATCAATTGTTACAGGTAGAAAGAGGTAGGTCTAATTTAAAAATATAAAACGCAATTCATGTTTACTTTAGTTCAGTTTGTTTTGTTGGCAAAAAATAAAATCTTTCCTGTATGGATTGATATGGGATGCACATGCAGAAAAAAAACATAAAAGTACAGAAAAAAACCCACTTATTTATTAAGTGCCAGGCGTTTTCACAAATGTATCTCTAAATCTGCAAAATGAAGGATGATGCCATTATCCCTATTTTACAGATGCCAAGACTGAGACTTAGAGAGACTTGTTGATTAACTTGAACTTATGAAGCTAGTACACAGCAAAGTCAGTATCATGGCCCCCAAATCACAACCTTTCCATGCTATCACTCAGCCTTTAAAACGTGTCTCTAGTGGTAATGAAGTTGAGGAACCATTGGTACGATCCCATCATATAATATTCATAGAACATTTTACTATTGTCAGTGTCTTATCAGAGCTTCACAATTCACTGATGTAGACAGGGCAAGTGGCATTATAAGTGGGGTAGTGAAAGCCCAGAAAATTATTTACCCCAGAACACAGGGCTGGTAAATCTGGGTGCCATGGACTTTGATTTTGAGGCTACTGAGTACCATGCAGACATTAGACCAGCAGTTTGTCAGGAATGGTTTTGGTGATTATTGCCACTCCTTCTTCATTCACTCAACCACTATTCAGTAAATCAAAAGTCCTGTGCATACTGCTCTGCTTTCTCCCATCTGTCATTTACCTTCCACTTCTAACATCACTACTATAGTTTAGACAGACCCTTTTCATCTCAGATGTAGATTATAATAAACTTCTCACAGGTCCCACAGCCTCATATCTCATCCTACCCACACCTTGGTTTCCATTGCCACCAGTTTAACCTTTCCTAACCTCCTACCACACCTTTTCTCAGCACAAAATCCGAAAGTGTTGACAGCAAACTTTACCATCATCAGGAAGATAGGCACCTTCCACTTTACCCAATCAAAAGCCAGTAATGCACTAAAAAGACAAAAATAAGTAAGTGTGGTTTAATCTCTTCTGGTAGTGTAATGATTAAGAAGTCTAGAAAGATTAAAGTTATTTCCTAATTAAGAGCAATATTTAGTCATGTTATTCAACAAATATTGCAATTATTTTCTTAAAAACGCAACGGTCATTCCAGTCACAGGGTAAGGAAAAGGAGAAAGAAAAGAGGAGGAACAAAGGAGAGGGCACACAGGGAGGGTGGGTCTCATGAGAGCAAATCAAAGACAGACTGAGGAGTAAGAACAGGACAAACCAAGCAATTGAGAGAGAAAATGAAGGCACATCATATCTAAAGAAGAAAGAAAAGGACAGTACTGAAAAGAGGAGATGAGACAAGCCCATTAGGGCCTCTACTGTGGATAAACCACATCTTGCATATGCTGGCACTCATTTAGAGGGTTATTTTCTTTCTTTACAGTTACTTGAAATAGCACTAGCAAAATAAACCCAGTTTACAGCTCTTTGAGTGCTATATTTTCAAGTCTTCAGAAGCTTGCAATGAGATCATTATGACCTACCAGAAGGAATTATTCCCTGGACTGCTTCACATAGCAGAGGGCACAAGCTCACCTTGAGGCTTAATCTTCACTCTGAGATTAAAGTTGCAGTTATCCAGTTTAGTATTCCATTCAATAAGAAATTTAGTAAGACATAAATTTGGGGTGGTTTATCTATTAATACTATACCTTATGCACTGTTGCGTCCCCACAGAATCCTGTTGGTTGAGTGTTTCAGAGACTACCTTACTGACTAAATGATGATTTCTAGCACTTTAGTGAAAAATACTCTCAGAAGATCTTCTGTTACTTAAGGAATGGCTACAATATCGAATGTCAACCCTTTATAGAATTGACAATATTGACTTACAGTCCCTAGGACCTGCCCTGCACTTAGAGCTCAATCATTTCTTTTCATTCACTCATCAAAGTTTGTCTTTTCTTTGACAATTCTTAACATCATTTTTCATATTTATTTTGTCATGTTGTGCCCATTAGTATAATGTTGGATGGAAGCAGTAGAGCAGGCATTTTTGTCTTTTTCTCATTGAAAAGGAAAATCTTATAATGGTCCCCCATTTAAAATAATGTATACTGTAAGATTCTAGTAACATTTTATCAGGTTAAGAAAACATTTAGTTTGAGAAGAGATTTTATCAGGAAAAAGTATTAAACATTATAAAAATTTCTGCATTTATTGAACATATTACATAATCTTTTCCTTCAATCTGTTAGTGTAATTAATTGCATTTTTAGATTTACTAGTGTTAAGCCACCCATATATGCTTGAAGAAACTTACTTGTTCATGACATAATTTTATAAATTGCTGGATTAAATTTCAGAATATTTCATTTTAGGGCCGGGCGCGGTGGCTCACGCCTGTAATCCCAGCACTTTGGGAGGCCGAGTCAGGCAGATCATGAGGTCAGGACATCGAGACCACAGTGAAACCCCGTCTCTACTAAAAAAATACAAAAAAATTAGCCGGGCATGGTGGCCGGCGCCTGTAGTCTCAGCTACTCGGGAGGCTGAGGCAGGAGAATGGCGGGAACCCGGGAGGTGGAGCTTGCAGTGAGCCGAGATCGCGCCACTGCACTCCAACCTGGGCGATAGAGAGAGGCTCCGTCTCAAAAAAAAAAAAAAAAGCATATTTCATTTTAGTATTTTTGCATGTATATGGGGCTTTAAATCTGTTTGTTTATAGAATCAAGTTTATAATGGCTTCATTAATTGAGTTGAGGTACTATCTTCCTTGTGTCTTTAATCTGTAAACTTCAAATAAGATTGAGATAATTTAATTTTGTAGGTTTGGTAAAATTATAAATCTACCTGTATATATGTTG